AATCCAGGTGTGAATGGACAGGTGAGGTCACACCTGGGTCAGAATCGGGGGTGTGACGTCATGATCCCCAAATTCCTGCAGTTCTTCAAGCACTGCAGCCCCAAAATCAGGTAAATCCAGGTGTGAATGGACAGGTGAGGTCACACCTGGGTCAGAATCCAGGTGTGAATGGACAGGTGAGGTCACACCTGGGTCAGGATCCAGGTGTGGGACAGGTGAGGTCACACCTGGGTCAGAATCGGGTAAAATCGGGGCTGGGGGTGGGGCAGGTGGTCTCAGGTGGCTCCAGGTGCGGTTTGGGGCACCCAGGTGTGTTTTAGGGTGTCCAGGTGTGTTTCAGGTTGACCGTGGGGGTTCCCAGGTGTGTTTTAGGGTGTCCAGGTGTGTTTCAGGTTGACCGTGGGGGTTCCCAGGTGTGTTTTCGGGTGGGTTTTGGGGTGTCCAGGTGGGTTTGGGGGTGCCCAGCTGTGTTTTGGGGGGTGTCTGGGGGGGCCCAGGTGTGTTTGAGGCTGCCCAGGTGTGTTTCGGGGTGCCCAGGTGTGTTGTCGGGTGGGTTTTGGGGTGTCCAGGTGGGTTTGGGGGTGCCCAGCTGTGTTTTGGGGGGTGTCTGGGGGGGCCCAGGTGTGTTTGAGGCTGCCCAGGTGTGTTTTCGGGTGGGTTTTGGGGTGTCCAGGTGTGTTTGGGGGTGCCCAGCTGTGTTTTGGGGTGTGTCTGGGGGTGCCCAGGTGTGTTTGGGGTTGCCCAGGTGTGTTTGGGGGCGCCGAGCTGTGTTTTGGGGTGTGTCTGGGTGTCCCCAGGTGTGTTTTAGGGTGCCCAGGTGTGTTTGGGTGTGCCCAGGTGTGTTTTCGGGTGGGTTTTGGGGTGTCCAGGTGTGTTTGGGGTTGCCCAGGTGTGTTTTGGGGTGCCCAGGTGTGTTTGGGGGTGCCCAGGTGTGTTTTGGGGTGTCTCTGGGGGTCCCCAGGTGACGCCCCCCGCCCCACAGGTCCCACGCCATCGCCTGTGTCAATCAGTTCATCATGGACCGGGCACAGGCGCTGATGGAGAACATCGACACCTTCATCGAGGTCAGGGCTCACCTGGGGGCTCACCTGGGGTTCCTGGGGGGCTCTGGGGCTCACCTGGGGGTCCTGGG